ACCATCGGTACCGACGGTACCGACGGACAGTGTTTTGGATGGTTACCTTATGCCATAGCAATAATGCTAACTACCTCATTCACCAACGGACTTTTCAAATTTACCGATGGTGAATTCATTTCTCCATCGGTCCCGATCGACAATCTCTATTTACCGATGGTGAATTGGCTTACCATCGGTACCGACGGTACCGACGGACAGTGTTTTGGATGGCTACCTTAGCCTCTCTCACTAACTATTTCATTCACCATCGGACTTTACAAATTTACCGATGGTGAATTCTTTTCTCCATCGGTACCGATGGACAATCTCTATTTACCGATGGTGAATTGGCTTACCATCGGTACCGACGGTACCGACGGACAGTGTTTTGGATGGTTACCTTATGCCATAGCAATAATGCTAACTACCTCATTCACCAACGGATTTTTCAAATTTACCGATGGGGAATTAATTTCTCCATCGGTACCGATGGACAATCTCTATTTACCGATGGTGAATTCGCTTACCATCGGTACCGACGGTACCGGCGGACAGTGTTTTGGAGTGCTACCTTATGCCATAGCAATATTGCTAACCACCTCATTCACCAACGGTCTATTCAAATTTACCGATGGTGAATTCATTTCTCCATCGGTACCGATGGAGAATCTCTATTTGCCGATGGTGAATTGGCTTACCATCGGTACCGACGGTACCGACGGACAGTGTTTTGGAGGGCTACCTTATGCCATAGCAATATTGCTAACTACCTCATTCACCAACGGACTTTTCAAATTTATCGATGGTGAATTCATTTCTCCGTCGGTACCGATGGAGAATCTCTAATTACCGATGGTGAATTGGCTTACCATCTGTACCGACGGTACCGACGGACAGCGTTTTGGAGGGCCACCTTAGCCTCTCTCACTAATGCTAACTACCTCATTCACCAACGGACTTTACAAATTTACCGATGGTGAATTCATTTCTCCATCGGTACCGATGGAGAATCTCTAATTACCGATGGTGAATTGGCTTACCATCGGTACCGACGGTACCGACGGACAGTGTTTTCGAGGGCTACCTTATGCCATAGCAATATTGCTAACTACCTCATTCACCAACGGACTTTTCAAATTTACTGATGGTGAATTCATTTCTCCATCGGTACCGATGGAGAATCTCTATTTACCGATGGTGAATTGGCTTACCATCGGTACCGACGGACAGTGTTGTCGAGGGCTACCTTAGCCTCTCTCACTAATGCTAACTACCTCATTCACCAACGGACTTTACAAATTTACCGATGGTGAATTCATTTCTCCATCGGTCCCGATGGACAATCTCTAATTACCGATGGTGAATTGGCTTACCATCGGTACCGACGGACAGTGTTTTCGAGGGCTACCTTAGCTTCTCTCACTAATGCTAACTACTTCATTCACCAACGGACTTTACAAATTTACCGATGGTGAATTCATTTCTCCATCGGTACCGATGTAGAATCTCTAATTACCGATGGTGAATTGGCTTACCATCGGTACCAACGGTACCGACGGACAGTGTTTTCGAGGGCTACCTTAGCCTCTCTCACTAATGCTAACTACCTTATTCACCAACGGACTTTACAAATTCACCGATGGTGAATTCATTTCTTCATCGGTACCGATGAAGAATCTCTAATTACCGATGGTGAATTGGCTTACCATCGGTACCGGTGAGCATTCATTATTTACCGATGGTATATTCATTTTTCCATCGGTACGGATGGACACCGATGGTAGAAATATTTTCACCAAACTAACCGTCGGTATGCTTGCTACAGTATTGGGCAACCCTCTGAACAATGGCTCGGCTGCACCTCGCCATTGTTCATGGCACTTGTATTTAGAAACCACGTCTAAAACACTAACTCGGATTTGAAATATTACGTATAATTCACCGATCTCTATCAGAAATTCCCATTTGAAAGGTGTTGTCATGACTGTATTCATGATTCATCTCAGTCGCACTCAGAAACGTCGTCAAAAATATAGACACATTTCTTTACGATTGAGTTCATTTGAATGTAAAAGAGGTCCCCAACATTCTTGAACATGTGCTTTTGGTTAAAATACCATATTTGACTTGATTTGTTCCTCTATTGCGAGATAACAGAACAAAACAGTTGAAAATACCGTATTAATCACAATAGCTCACTCCTCAAGGTGGTCACCAGGCCAACCAAATAATTCGCAAAAGAATGTATGCATCAACAGCTGTAAACAATGACGTCGCCGGCATATCGCAGGCATATGTCAACCAGGCTTAAAAGCCTGGTTCACATATGCTTGCGTTATGCCTGCGCTATCATTGTTTATAGCTGTTGATGCATAGATTCTTTTGTGAATTATTTGGTTGAACTGCTAACAACAATAGCCCTCTGACATACCACAGATATATGTGAACCAGGCTTAATAAAAATACATGAATATTTGTGTCTCGTGTGTGTGAATATTTGCATACTTTCAAGTCTCGTCCTCAGGCGGTGTGTGCACTACGGTGCAAAGGCTTCTGGGAGCATTATTTCGCGTGAAACTGCCAGCAATGGCTGATTTTGCCTGAAAGTTATGGTAAGTTTAAATTCATATTCTATTGCGATTTTTTATGCCGGTTGCATTTTTTCCGTTTGTTTTAGTAACATAGACTATCTATTAGGTTAAATGTTTGTCCTGTGTTTTATTTTATTATAATTTATATAAAATGGTTTTTGAAGGCTTTGTCTTGTATGACTTGCCGTATACAACATTGAATAGTCTTTCGACTGATTGATTTGTCCTTGTCATAGCAGACTCAAAAGTTAATCTATCGCATTAAGATTTCCAGAAATAATAACTAAAAATATAGATTAAACCAACTATATCAACGCTCCCAAACGCTCCCCAAGCTTAAATACATTAATTTTGACTGAAAGTTGTCACATTTTCAGGCAGATTCACGAGCAAGTGTAAAGCGGCCATTCGTTCCTGAAGGCAATACACCCGGTAAACCACTGCTAAAAGTCCGCACTGTGAAAGCATCCGAGAATTCAGAAGCACGTAGAAAGTGCTTATTTGTAAAAGGTGAGGACAGCACTGATGAAAAGTCCTCTTGGACGAAATGGACAACCGAAGAAGAAGCTGCCCTGGTGCAATACATCTGTCTTTTTTGGGACGATGCATGCGAAAACAAGTGGCCAACATTCAAAAATAATGAATTTTGGAGTGGGTGTGCAGATGCTGTGATGAATGTCTGCAAGACAACAAGAACTGGTAAGTGCAATTAATTGTATTCTGTTATGCTGCCTGGCTAATTGATATGTGTTAACATTGTTTTTAATACATAAAAATAAAAAATTATTGGTATAATACAGTAAACTTGTGAATGATCTGGATGGGTCTACCTGTAGTAATGGCCTCAACTAAACTATCTTTAGGTCCAAAACTACAGAAAAAAGTTTATTTCTACACTAATTGTTATTTTTCTTCACTACAGTAGTCTAGGACCTGTATATGAGTTTGTATGCGATTCATTTAGGACAGGTAATCTCAACTGTTTTAGGGTAAAGTGACCATGGCGGTCAACATGGCATATGTGCGAAAACCTGAATCCGGGACGAAAGTCCTGAAAATGACCCCGCCCTGAAACGGCAGTGTCGACATAGCTCTACCTCCTGAAAAGGAAAAGCGATAGTCTCTGAAGTGCTTATAGTGTTTAGAAGGGTTGCTTTTAGGGGTGGTCATTGGAAGGAAAAATTTGTCGAAGTATAATATTTTACCAGAAAATGACTATGCACCATCCCAGGTAAATTGCTGATTATGCACAAAATAACTAATATGCCTGGCAGAAATGAAATATTCTTATTTCCTAAAAAAAATTACCATGGGGTGAAAAACTATGCTTAATTTAATATAAATATTGTTGATTTCATAAGGATTGTCATTGTTTTCTTTAAATATAATACATTTTATTTCACTTACCCCCCACGAAAACACGATTTCAGCCATATTTTGCCGCCTTGTTTGCTTTTTATCGCCGAATCTCACAAATATCATCCAGTTATTGTACTTTTACATAATCATAAATGGCTGAAGAAGATTTCAAAGAAGGTTTCATTCACTTTTGTAACAGTGCAGTGTATTTTACCTTCGATATTGTGTCCTTCGATATTCCACCAAATTGCCGCCATTTTAATGGCTCGCCGCTTCTCTGTCTGATAAATGTAACTTCTTCGTTTCCATGTGTATTTAGATTACAGTATCCAAGAGTACTTCATTGTAGAATAGTCCCAATTGAAAAATTGGCAGCATTTGTCCCATTAGGAAGGAAAAATCCTCCCGTATACCATTTAGGTTCAAAATAAAAAACAAATCATTTGAAAGTCACGCGCAATCTTCGCGAAAACTTCTCGTGGACACATGACAGGGGTGGTGAATATTTTCACGAATATGTTCGCCACCACAGAAACATAAATTTCGCTGGTATTTCTACTCTTGAAAACAGACGGGAGTATCTATCCAATAATCTCTTCAACGACATTGTTTTAAATGATGATCATAAACTTGCCAAACTTTTACCATCCAAAGCAGGCAATAGAGAATTACGAAAAGAAAG